TCACCGTCCATTGAACGGACGAAAGCGATCGATTATCAACAATACCATGACAAACGCGCAATCATTGCCTAATCGTAGTCAAGCCGCTCCATATATGATACCGATCCGGGCGATGCTCCCTTCCACATCTTCACAACCGACGATGGCGGGAGTACCCGATCTCTCTCGGTCTCCCGATGGTTCAAGCCCCGCTTCACCACCTGTGACGGATTCTGAGCCCATACACTGCGGATTGTGTCAGCGGCGGCCGATATCGGCTGCTTCAGATGGAAGCGGTCAGTCCGTCTGCCAAAATTGTATACACATGATGAACGCACAGACATCCATGCCATCGTTTCCTAATTTGACCGCGCTTCCTGTCAGACAGGCTTCTTGGCCTCCATCGTCATTGCCACTTCACCCGGCGGTTCCCTCACAATCCACTTCAGACATGTTCATGTATCCCTTTTCCGTACAGCAAACGACCGCGGCGCAAACCCGCGAAACGCCAATCACGGGCAATTTTCTGCCAATGCCAACAAAATACACCATGTCATCATCACCGACTCTGCCAACGCAATCTACCAGGATGCCATCCCTCCTTTCACTCCATTCTGCCCCACAATCTGACACTTTCTTCTCCAATCCGGCTTACCGCCCTTTCCGACCTCTCAGTCCGCCAACCTCGCTCAATGAGCACCATCCCGCATTTATGGGCAGCGTCCATCCAGCCGACCTTCGCTTTCAAAACGCCCTGTCTCAGATGGACCGCCCACAGATCGAAGAATTGTTTGCAACGCTAGAACGACGATGCTCCTTTATTAAAACGATATTGGGCAAGGATGAGCAGCCTGAACCCATATATGTCAACCAAGGCATGCTTTCTTACACCTCCAGACCCATGGACTTGCTGCTCTATGTTCATGGAGAGGGAGAATCGCTAGGTTTCTAAGCCATTGTACATAATAGAAGGCATTGGGGTCTCTTGTATAAAACAATGTCTTTACAAACAGTTATATATTACTCGGTGACACTGGCAAGCCATCTGAATTGTTTGCCTTCGTACGAATTTCTTCTTTTTCCCTTTTGAAGGTAACATGGACATTCGACAAGCGACGGTAAGTGGATGGCATGCGGGTGGGTTTTCGGCAATGCAACCACTGCCAAGAACCTTGACTTCTTCTACCATGACGTGTGACTCAGGACTGTCTTGCTCAGGTCAATGATTTGCTCGCGATCCAAAACTGCAATCTCCTCAATCTTCCCGAAAACTACCAAATGAAATACTGCACGTAGTTCACCCAACCGTTGAATGCGCAACTAACCAACGCATCTAGATCTCTATCACGAACTGTCGTGGCCCCAGTTGTCATATGTTGCCGAGGACGACAAAGGACGGATAGTAGGCTACGTGCTCGCTAAAATGTAGGTAATGCCGGGTTGGCAGACGGATACTCATGCCGCTTTAGGGAAGAGGAGCCTGGTGATGTTCCTCATGGACATATTACGTCTCTGTCTGTCATGAGAACGTACCGTCGTCTCGGACTCGCCGAGAAACTGATGCGTCAATCACGTAAAGTGCTCAACGAGGGTGCCTTGAAACTGTTTGGTCTTACCTTTGTCTAGAACGCATGATGGTGGAGGTATTTGGAGCCCGCTATGTGTCGTTGCACGTGCGAAAGAGTAATCGGGCGGCTTTGTCATTGTACAAGGACACCCTAAACTTCAAGTACGTTAACGTCACCAGACGAATAATGAGCTGACGCGACCCATCTAGTGTCCACGACATTGAAAAAAAGTATTATGCCGATGGTGAAGACGCGTATGCGATGCGCAAGGAGTTGAGTGATGGCAAGGAACACAAGGTCACCATTTCGGTTTAGATGGAATACTGTACACTAAGACAAATATACACATGGACAAGGGAAGCGACGTGCCTTAAAGATCGTGCTTCCACTGAATGGCCACTTGCCGTGACTCGACCTTCTTCATGGTACAAATATCCTTGAGTTTGCAACCTAAAGCATCTTTTCGAATTGCTTTCAATTGCTCCAAGGTGCATACGTCTGCCTCACAGCCGGGTATCCGGATAGTGCGCTCATTGACTAACAGTCGAACATGGGTGTCCTTTGCCGTCTTGGCGCATTGATAGACTTCAAAGATCACGTTCGCACCAAATGGAGTGAGTTGGCTGCCCTTATACTTTCTATGGCGAATCACCTGGGGTGGTGTATCCGCCAACAGAGGCTCATCATCTTGAAAGATGTGTAAGAGTGTCGCCAGGAATTGGATTGTCTCTGCATGGCCGAATTTAAAGGTGGCAGCGAGTGGTGCATCCAAAGTGACCGTTTCTTGCATGCTTGTGATCAGATTTTGCCATAATTCACAGCCCATGATCAGGTTGAAAGGGTTGCCGTACGAGTAGGTATAATAGTCCTCTAGATCATCCAGATATTCTAATGTCGCGATATCATGTCGCGTCAAGAAGGTACACCAAGTATTGGATTGATTGCGGAATGCAATTTCGTAGGCGCAAAGTCGATATATTTGCGTCAGATCGGTAGGCTCCAACCGAAGGCCCAAATCATGCCAGAAACGCATGAGCGTCTCGTTCAAATGTCGCTCTCCGTACAACTCCATTTGCTTATCTCGAAAGTCATTGTTTTGTACGACTTCCAACCAGTAATCACAAGCGTACTTGACCGCCATAAATGTGTCCATCCGACGTGGAAGCGTGTTGAGAGCCAGAGTTTTCAGACGAGATGGGCCTAGCTCGCCGCGGCCTTCCAACAAACCAAGCGCAAAAGCTGATGCGGATCGAGAAGCGCGGGTTGTCTCGGATGAGAGCATGGAAATACTGTCTGCTTCAAAGGAGATGGATTTCAACACCGCATTGTACTTTGCAGACATTCTCTGCGCGAGCTGATACATGTCCAATTCGCCCTGTGACGACAAGCTAGTCGGCACGGCTTCCTTATAGATATTAGTCCAGTTGTGGAGCCAGCCATACTTGGGTTGCTTTGAAAGCTTGGCGAAAATAGTGTAGAGGTCATCAAAAGAAGCAGTATCTCCTTCGCTTGGATATCGCGTTCCATGTCGGGCAACGAGGTGAACCTGCACCAGTGGGCAAGTAACCCACAAAGGTTCAGCCTCAGGAGTTGGATATGGACTCTTGGATCCCAAGTGACGGCTCAGCCATCCCTCTTCGGCCAAAGCCAACCCAACCAGTAATACGAACACCAGGAGCATGTCTATCATCTCCTTTCCTCCACAACGCCCTTAAACCCGTCACAGTGACGTAGGCAAAATTGCCCTGATGCTCGAGATTTTGTTTACGGTGGATATTTTCACTGCTTACCCTTCCTTGTTTGTTATGGCCGCCCTTGCACGATCTGTAGGGTCTTCCCTCGTCAACCGTACATATATCACTCTACCCGCTTCGGGAACTGCTGTGAAGCAGATTTTTCACATCTCTTCGTCACAGCGCGAGGATGACGAGCACAAGACTAGTGCCCCATCGTCCTTCGGAAGCTACGCAAAGAAGCGCCCTGATGGCTCCATCTTGTCGAAAACCAATGTAGTCGGTAAGTTACGAAAATATAGCCTACTCTTGCGCTCTTCAGTTTCGACTCACCTCGTAATGTCTCGGTCCAGCATCACCTTCCGCTGTGCATCAGCGCCGCTTCCAGTCCACTTCCGCCGACACTACAGTTGTTCCCGACTTTTCAAAGTACCGAAGCACGGCAGGAGGTGACACCAATCGTGCTTTTACTTATTTTATGGTCGGCACAACCGGTTTTGTTACAGCTGCAGCAGCCAAGGCCACCGTCCAAGATTTCCGTAAGTTGTCGCTGCACCTGGACAGGCGCACCTGTAACGGCTCACGGCATCCCATCTGACACTGATTTATGATAGTCTCCAACATGAGTGCTTCAGCTGATGTATTGGCCCTTGCCAAAGTAGAGGTCGACCTTGCTTCCATTCCCGAGGGCAAGAACGTGACAGTGAAGTGGCGAGGAAAGCCCGTGTTCATCCGCCACCGAACAAGTGATGAGATCAAGGAGGCGGAATCCGTTAATGTCCAATCTCTTCGTGATCCTCAAGCTGATGCTGATCGAGTAAAGAAGCCAGAATGGCTCGTTATGCTTGGCGTTTGCACACATTTGGGTAAGAACAGGAGATTGGGTTTTGTGACCGTTCAATGGCGCTGATGGTCTCTACCAGGTTGTGTACCTATCGGTGAAGCTGGCGATTTTGGTGGCTGGTACTGCCCTTGCCACGGATCCCACTATGATATCTCTGGACGTATCCGCAAGGGACCTGCTCCTCTCAACCTTGAAGTTCCCGGTAAGTCTCAGTGTGGTTTGGTGTCTGTCCATGCTGACTCAACGTCTCGATCACTACAGAGTACAGCTTTAACGAAGACAAGCTGGTCATTGGTTAGATTGCAAAATATCCACAAATCGCATGTATTTCAACTATTCTCATTAGAAGAATGCTTCTTCGAAATCTCCTCCTTTTCCTTTCTGACTCCTTGCGTTTCTACTCTGCTGCTCTAGTGAGATTTGTTGCGATTGATAATTGACAGATCGAGTGAAAAGTGAGAGGAATTCCTAGCTCAAGCAGCCGTTCCTCCGTGAAAAATCTTTCCGCCGGCATATGAGATTTACTGTCAATGTCATGACATGTCAGAGCTTGCCATCCTTTTGTCAGTATACGATGAGGATTCTTTCTGAATCTTAGGGATGCTAGTCTGCAGAATTCAGTAACGACCGCTCAAATATCACTCTTCATACCCTCGAATCTAAACCAAAGTCGCGTACAATGCACTGACTATGTGATATTGGGATTAACGCACAATTATGCAGGCGAGCAGTAGCCTCTTTCTTCACTATCCTTCCACACTGGCTGCGACTCCGATCGGGAAACTCGATCGATCACGTGAGCTATCCGTGAGCACGTGACCCACCGGCAGACTCCACGGAAGTATTATACGCTAATTAAAAAAAATTTGTGGTTAAGCGAAGGTGGTATAGTGGTAGCACATCACGTTGTGGCCGTGTTGACCCCGGTTCGATTCCGGGCCTTCGCACTTTTTTGGTTCCCTGCATGGAACCTTCTTGGGTTGCGATCTTTTTGCATAGATGATGAAGCTAAATTGTCCGCGCATTCGTCCAAGAAACTTGTTGTACATGCTGGTTCGGAGCTCGGAACTCTTGGGGATACAATATGCACGTTAGCCTATCCATCCCGCTTCCGTGCTCCCAATGGCGTGCTCCCGTTGCACAAACGCCTCAATCCTGTACTTGTCCAAACTATTTTGACAGCTGAAACGACCCTGTGATCTAACCTTGTGCCTCTCATGGCATGCCCAATAACAGAGTGTTGCCTAAAACGGAAATCAAAACACCAGCCGAAAAGGGAAACTGTCGGCTTGATCTGCCATTCCTTGTGTCCAATTTGCAATATAAAGGTCAAATGGGGGGTGGTGGTTCTGTTTTCTTGTGTGTTTGTTTCTACTTTGATCTCTCTGCTGTTATGGTAGGTGATGCAACGATCATATCTGAGTCTAACAGCAGCAGGCGCGGTTTAGCAAGAAGGCAGAGAGCTACACGTTGCTCGAGAAAATAGGCAAGGGGTCCTTTGGGACCGTCTACAAGGCGTAAGTGACCTGTCAAGCTGTCTAGTCTAATCTTCTGGATAGGATTGACAAGGAAACGAATGAAGTAGTGGCCATCAAGCAGATAGATTTGGAGGATTCTACGGACGATTTGGCCGATATACAACAAGAGATTGCTATCCTATCCCAATGTCATTCGGAGTTTATTACCCGTTACAAAGGATCTATTGTCCACAATTATCAGCTTTGGATAGGTAAGTGCAGGGTACGGTGACACCGTAGCTAAGCATATGCTAGTCATGGAATATCTCTCTGGTGGATCCTGCCTTGATTTGGTATGTGCGTTACCGCTGTCATGAAGGGGTGTGCTTACATGAATACCAGTTGCAGCCAGGACAGATTCCGGAGCACTATATTGCCATTATCTTGCGTGAGCTTCTACATGGCTTGGAATACCTGCATTCTCAAGGGAAAATCCATCGCGATGTCAAAGGTAAGTTTAGACGTGCCTTCCTGTTTCAGAGATGCTGACAACATCTCTTACAGCCGCCAACGTCTTAATCTCACGAGCTGGGACAGTCAAGTTGGGTAAGTTTGCATATAGCATCTGGAACACGGTCTCACTCGTTCGATGGCAGGCGATTTTGGAGTCGCTGCTCAGATATCGTGCAACAAGAGCCGTCGCAATACTTTTGTGGGTACACCGGTATGACTCAAGTTGCTGATGAAGCATGTACAATGCAGTTGCTCACATTATTCGTCTTTATGCAGTTCTGGATGGCACCAGAGGTGATAAGGCACGAAGGGTATGATGCCAAGGTAATTGAATCCTTCGACAGAGTGCTGTGCTTGTGCTGAAGCGTCCTTACAGGCCGACATATGGTCTCTCGGAATCACTGCGCTTGAACTCGCGAAAGGCATGCCACCACTCGCAAATCTTCACCCAATGAAAGTACTCTTCCTTATCCCAAAATCACCCCCACCATCACTTGAAGGCAACTTTTCGGCAGACTTCAAGAGCTTCGTGTCGCTATGCCTCAAGAAAAGCCCGCATGAGGTATCATCGATGAGCGAATGCATGGTTGAACACGCATCTCATTCAACTTCATTATCGTGTGTAGCGAGCAACCGCAAAGGAACTACTCAACCATCGCTTCATTCGGTATGCCAAAGGTAAATCGAGGTTGACAGAGCTTGTACAGCGACACGATTTCTGGAAAGCAAACCAATCGCTCGATCGTCTACCGCGCAACGAGTATGTTGACGACGTCGACGATAGCAACGACATCCATTCTCTATCTGTTATATGGAACTTTGACACCATCCAACCATCTCCCTCTACTCCATCCATCGTTTACGTCGAGTCCGACGAAGCCACTTTACCGCCTACGCCATCAGAGACTGATTGTGATAGCAGCTACGGAACAGCCGATAAAAAGATTCTGGTGAGTAGGGTTGATATTGTCAATGAAGCGTGGAACGTTGACGCTAATTCGCTACGTAGATGCCCGATGACATCAGTCTGGAGGTTTCTGTACAGCAAGTTGCACAATTGGTATGTTATGAGTAGGCTCGCATGCCATAAATATGTTTGAATAATTGGCTAACGTATCATCTCAGGCGAGGTCGCCCACGTCCCGGTTAATGTCCCCCGTCCTACCTTGTGCTGGTATAACACCAGTTCCGAGCATGGAATCAGTCGTTGATTACGGTCGATCACCAGAGTAAGTGGCCGAGCGCATGGTGCAAACGCCGTAGACGATCTCTAAGTCTATTTACCCCTAGTGCAACACCCATAGCTCCTCGAAGGCATTCTTCCGCACTCAATGCCCAAGTAGACCGACGAAAACTTGCCGTACGGCCGCTATCAATGAGCTCGCTAGAGAGCGATGATGAGCTGATGGCCCAATTGGGCCGTCATATTGCAAGAACCATCATCGTGCCCAGCGTTGTCAAAAACAAATTTCGTACAGCGCAGCCGGCTGACCAAAACAATCTCAAGCTCATACAAAATGCGGTTGAAGAGCTGACCCTCACGAATCCAGAGCTCATTGTGAATCTCTTTGGAGATTTCATCCATCGAGCCAAAAAGTAAGTTTGCACTTCCAATGTGCACCCTGGCTGACATTGCCCGCTTTAGTGACCCCCTCCTCAATGACCTGTAATATATCCACTGCCAAAAATCTGCAGCCTCCAATGAGTTGCAGCACCAAAAGCACGCACTGTTATATTGATATCCACGTGGCTCATTGCCAATTCTTGTAAAGTTGCCCAAACCTTCCAAAAGCCTGCCTTTAAGCCCTCACATTTTAATTCATTTAAATGTCTGCGCTAGCGTCTGGTCTTTTTCTCTGCGTTTCTTTCCTCTATAACACTCGTCAACGACAGCGCGAGCCTCCCTTACGATGAGTGACGACGGTGCTCCTCAGCTCAATGTTGAGCCCGCATATTACTATGACCAAGAGAACGGTGGAGGTATACCAGTGTTCTGCCCCACCATGGACCAATTCAAGGACTTCATTGGGTTTGTGGAGGCTATCAATGAGTACGGTATGGCCTCAGGGATTGTTAAAATCATACCTCCTGCAGAATGGTAAGTTGCGCCGGACCTTGGTTTTTAGTAGCGGCGTGTCAGTCTGACATGTCAACTTTTTTCTGGCGATGCGCAGGCGTGCGACACTCCCCGACTTGTCTGACAAGCTTGGGTCCGTCAAGGTAAAGAAGCCTATAGTACAACACATTCTAGGATGCCAAGGCATCTATACGCAGACAAACGTCGAGAAGCGACGTTTTTATTCGCTTCAACAGTGGCACGATATATGCGAACACAGCGATCATCGACCTCCTGGAAAGAAGGAGCCTAAGGCTCAATCTCCCCCAGCTAAACGGAGAAAGAAGAATGTGAAAGCTGATCTGATTGGAACCGGTAAGTGTTCGCGCTCTCTTTATGTCAATCGGTCTACCTACAAATGCGAATGCTCTTTGTGATCAGAAACGCCGTCATTGGACACGAAAGCTAGCCCAAAGATGGAACACAGCGACCCCGAAATATCGACCAAGCGCGATCAAACCAGTAGTGTGGGCCTTAAAGTTATATCAGCGAACGGTCCTGTTTCGATACTTAATCCTGTCAGTCCCACAGGATCACTTCCGAACGCAAATGCTTCGCAATCAGCACATACGCCTTTCTCTCCAACATATGGCAGTTTGCCCACACCACCAAGAGAGGAAGTTCTGCATGCGACAAACAGCTCCCAACCGGATATAAAATCGGAGGCTGAGAATAGCACATCAGAGGAAGCAGCCACAGCTGAAATATCGGAAGAGCCTGACAGTAAAATGGCTAATGAAGCGGATACGGACGACGTTGCACCCATCAATTTCAATTATCATTGCGAGGATGACGAAAAATATACTGTCGAATACTGCAAAGACGTTGAACGATATTATTGGAGAAACCTTACCTTCAACCAACCAATGTACGGTGCGGACATGTGCGGTTAGTATTCTAGTCAGTAAGAGATCAGAGGCTCATGGTGCTCTTTACTTTTAGGAACATTGTTTGGAGATGATAAGAGATCGTGGAACGTGAATCAACTGGACAATCTACTCAACAACATGGGAGTAAAACTTCCAGGGGTCAACACGCCCTATCTTTACTTTGGGATGTGGAAAGCGACTTTTGCTTGGCACGTCGAGGTAAGCATATTTGGGTTGGTCTTCAACAGGCGGTATTAACTCTCTGTATAAGGACATGGATCTGTATTCGATAAACTATTTGCATTTTGGGGCTCCAAAGCAATGGTACGCCATCCCAAGCGCCAATCGCGGCCGATTTGAAACACTAA